GAGGGCAGGGTGTGGAAACAATTGTGATAATCAGAACGTGGAAGTCTTCCTGCTGGTGACTTTGCAGAGAAACTAAAGGATTCTTTTTTTGTTTTTTGTTTTTTTGAACTTTTGTCACCCAGGCTGAAGTACAGTGGCAAGATCTTGGCTCACTGCAGCCTCCGCCACCCGAGTTCAAGCGATTCTTCTGCTTCAACCTCAGTTGTTGAGTAGCTGGGACTACAGGCACGTGCCACCATGCTCTGCTAATTTTTGTATTTTTAGTAAAGATGGGGTTTTACCATATTGGCCAGGCTGGTCTCGAACTCCTGACCTCAGCTGATCCACCCACCTCGGCCTCCCAAAGTGCTGGGATTACAGGCATTAGACACCATGCCCGGCCCAAAGGATTCTTGATATACTTTTTGCAGAAAAGAACTCAGTTGTTTATGGGAATGCTTAATGTTGGAAATATTTACTTTTTGTTTTGATTTGAGTCTTATTTTCCTAAATCTGTCAAATATCATGAGGCTATTGATTCACTGAAATGAATATGATGTGGCATATTGTTAAAATTATCACCTACTTTTTAACAGGATTATTTTAAAACAGCAAAATCTTCGTTGACTTATTTTTATACCACTCGTGCCTTTCTTGGGTTCTGAAACTTCATTAGAATTCAGCTAGGGCTTTTTTAGTGTGTGCTATTTCTTTAATATGTTTTTCTTTAAACAATTAAGGGGCATTTCTGTGGCAAGGAAAATACTTTTTTGTTCCTCATAAATAATCTCAAACTTGTCTTAAATTTCCTTCCATAGTTTCCATCTTTGCTTTGCTTGTTGCCAGCAACTAACTTTCAAAAGTTGGTATTGCTTATAAGAGCTGGTGTTGTAAATAATCACCAATGCTATTTTATTTATTTTTTTGAGACAGGGTCTCACTCTGTGGCCCAGGCTGGAGTGCAGTGGTGTGGTCTCAACTCAGTGCGGCCTCTACCTCCCAGGCTCAAGTGATCCTCCCATCCTAGCCTCCCGGGTAGCTGGGACTATAGGCACATGCCACCATGTCCAGCTATATTTTGTATTTTCGGTAGAGACTGGATTTCACCATGTTGTCCAGGCTAGTCTCCAACTCCTGAGCTCAAGTGATCCTCACACCTCGGCCTCCCAAAGTGCTGGGATTATAGGCCCAAGTCATTGCACCTGGCTGCTATTCTTTTATAATTCAAATTTTTACCAGTTTGTTTTCAATAAAAATGTGTGGAAGTTTTTATAATATGCTCATGCCAGTGATTTGCCAGAAAAATAGATCAGATACATTTCTACAGAGCAACCTTCGCTTTTAACAGTAATAATACATTTTCCTGAATCTCCCTTTCTAGCCAGATAAAGAAATATTGATACTTCTACTGAAGAGTCACATCCTTAGGTCGAATTTGGTGTTGCTTTTTTATCGTTGTTTTGAGACGGAATTTGAAACGAGGTCTCATTCTTGTCCTCCAGGCTGGAGTGTGATGGTGCCATCTGGGCTCACTGCAGCCTCCGCCTCCTGGGTACAAGTTCAAGTGATTCTTCTGCCTCAGCCTCCCAAGTAGCTGGGATTACAGGTGCCTGCCACCACGCCCGGCTGATTTTTGTATTTTTAGTGCAGACAGGATTTACCATGTTGGCCAGGCTGGTCTCGAACTCCTGACCTCAGGTGATCTGCCTGCCTCGGCCTCCTACAGTGCTGAGATTACTGGCGTGAGCCACCACGCCCGACCGAAACAGAGTTTGTTTCTTGTTGCCCAGGATGGAGTGCAGTGGCACAATCTCGGCTCACTGCAACCTCCACCTCCCGGGTTCAAGTGATTCTCGTGCCTCAACCTCCTGTGTAGCTGGGATTACAGGCGTGTGCCACCATGCCCAGCTAATTTTTGTATTTTTAGTAGAGATGAGAGTTCACCATGTTGGCCACGCTGGTCTTGAACTCCTAACCTCAGGTCATCCACCCTCCTCAGCCTCCCAAAGTGTTGGGATTACAGGCATGAGCCACCGCGCCCGGCCTTCTCCTTTGGTTTTGAAGTTCAATGTAGAACAGATTCTTAATTGGGAGGGTGGTATGGTGGATGCATCAATAGATCTAGCATTGCGTCCTCGTGTCATTAAGCTCTGTGACTTTGGACCAAGTCATTGTAAAATGGGAGAGGACAGTGCCTGATTTCCTAGGATTGTTGACAGGATTGAATGGCAATATAAAGCCCTTAGTACAGTGCCTAGTGGATAAGTGCTCGGTAAATGTTAACTACAGTGAGTAAATAACTGTTTGATGGACATTGAAAATAGTGAAGTAAGGCCGGGCGCGGTGGCTCAAGCCTGTAATCCCAGCACTTTGCCCGTCTCTACTTAAAAAGGTACAAAAAACTAGCCGGCGAGGTGAGCGGGCGCC